GTCTGCATGTCTGGAGTTCTCTCCTCCCTAAAAGCTACAATCTGCCAACAGTACGGTAAAGACAGAACGCAGGTCAGTGTTGATGAATCAAACAAAACAAATATGGCGTCGTTAAGAAAGTTCCAAACTATGATTAGGTTTATTCGGTTTTATTGCTTGTTTGAAGCGAATCTGAAGTTGACAGTAGACTCACGCCGAGGGCTTTAATATTTTATCTTGCCTTGCAAACAGAAACAAGTGAACATTGAATCTAGAGAATTAAGGACAAGCCTAAGTTTCAATGTTGTCCAGCCAGCCTTGTGTCTTGTGGTAGCAGGTCACTTGTTTACAATGGGGGTGTGGGAGACAACCAGAGACAGCAAACTCTTTAATGCTTTCAACTTGAATACTGGTGAGTTGTTGTGGTTGCAGTGACATTTTATTGTTTGAATCAGTTTTGAGTAGTTTAGTTAATTCATATAATTTGTTTTCATTGGGTCTATTTGTTTTGATCGTTTCTTCAGATATTATTATCTGTTTGTATCCAACCATATTGCCAATGACTTGTACAGGGCCCAATTAATGGGCTTGGCATAGAAGAAGTCTCCATCCATACTTTTGTAAATGCTATTAATATTTAGAAACACGTATCTTTTTTGTGCAAATTTAATGGATTATTGACGAGTCCAACAATCTTCTCGTCAAAATTTGCAGGATAGACAACGAATTTCGGATGAGAAACCAGTTTGACAAGTCCGTGTGCGTGCTCGTCAGCCACTGTCCCGGGCGCGGTGCAAAGCAGTACCTTCTTTTAACAGGCCCAGTGGCCTGAATGAGTGTTGCCAGCGGCTTGGCCCTCGGTACCCAAAAAGATGGAGGTTATGCCCTTCTGTGACCGTGGTGGCGACCGTCGGATTCCACCCCGCTTTGTCGCTACAGGGGCGTAAACTTAGGGGATGGTTTTGAGCAAATTCACACATTTTTGGCTGCTGCGCGGAAACGAAAAGTCCTACCGCGTTCCAATTTTGATCACAGGTGCATTTCATGACCCCCTAAGCTGCTGTAAAGCAGATTTGCCACCACTACCCCCTGAGGGGCGTAAGTGTCACAGGGGTGGTCACCCCCACCCTCAGGGTAGTTTTTGAAAATCGTCGCGTTTTTCACCGGGGACTTTTTCAGTGCGTCCTACACACTCTCAACTGAAGTTTCCAGACTTTTCCAGGCCTCCTTAGTGTGAAAAATGTGGAAATTTCAGTTAAGGGTTGGACAGTTAAGGCTTGGGGTATGGCTTTATGGAGTGGCTACTTGCTCGCCGGCCGCCCCCTAACCTGAGCCACTGCGAACGGAACTCCTCCGCCGTGTGAACGAATTTCGACACAATCGACACACCGGCGTGTTCCTCTAGGTCCACTCTAATTATTAGTCACATAAAACTTGACCACCACCACAACACTTTCAAACTAAAGCCCACCAAAGTCGCTCACCGCCGTGCGTCCATCGCTCCTGTCCCGACCCGTGCAGCG